TTTATGAATCAATTATGTGACATTTTTCTAATTAGAAATGTTATTCAATTTTTGTAACAATTTTGATTAAGCAATTATTTAAAGAATACTTTTAACATCAATAACCAATATACATGGTACCTTAGCCATTTCGCTATACCTTTTTGTTTAAATTCATTTAGGGAAAAAACAGTTATATTTGACTTGTGACCATTTGAACCCTTGAGGCACGAGATGGGCAGTTGATGAATTCTTCATTAGCACCATGGCTTAACACAAATAATTAACACTCCATGAGTCTGTTAAAGAATTTATAGTTTTAACTAGATACTAATAAACAAACTAGTTAGTAATATCTCTGCTAGTTAAGAGCCATTAATTTGTACATATTAACCATTTATAACAAAACATGAGGAAGGAAAAATACATAAATGAATTCTTTACCAAGAAGCTTGAATGAGATAAATCATGTTTCTCTTTAATTTATAATATAAAAGATATTTTTTATTCTTTTTCCACCTTCTAATTTAAATTTCTGTAATAAGTAAATAGTATAAACTTGTTACACTATGTAGCATTAAATTAGTAATTACTACTACACTAATAATTAGCTAAATTAATGATTGGAGGTATGTCCACATTAACAGTCCAGACATGTAGCATTTATTGGAATGATTCATCATACCAATCCTCATAATTACAATTATTAATCATTGACCCGTTATTTGAAATAGTCATAGTAAATACTGTCAAAACCGGTTACAACTTTGTCCAGTCATGATAAATCATAAAAATACTGTACACTGTAAAACCAATCATTGTTTATAATGAATAGCTGCATATTCATCATATCTAAGATCTTTAAGACATAATAAACATATTGTTAACCAATGTCATATTAATGATTTTTATTAAGTTTTAGCAGTTTACAGTAACAATCAAGATTTTCTTTTATAAATTTCTAGTGTCTTGCAAACCACTTTTTGGTAATGTTAACAAAAGCTTCTACAATACTAAGGGCCTGTCCTACCAAATTGTAAATTGTCTGACAATAATTCAACATGTGATGGAAATATCCGATTTTGTTACCTTATCTAACAGTGACATCACTTTTAAGCTATCTGAGACTTTATCAGCCAGTTGCAGGACAGGCCCTAAAGGTTGTGGATGTCATTTGGTTTTATAATTGGTGTTTGAGGTCATTATAAAATGTATTACTATAGCCTTTCACCATTGATTTAGGACATCTATTGTTCTAAATGAACCTAAAAAGTATATTTTTAGTTTGCATTTTGTAACATTAATGTAATTTAATAGTTGCCTAAAATTACATTTCAATATTCACAATAGTGCCAAGATTTTAATAGTAACCAATAATTGTTTAAAACATTCTTTTGTTCAGACTATGTATTAATAAATTATATAAGAAAAGTATATCTTAATTTATCTAATACTAGTTTTTGCCCACAACTCCATCTGTGTGGAATTGAAAAAACAAAAGTGGATAGCCTGTGTATTCTTCCAAACTATCCTCTACATCCATGCCATATTTCATCGAAATCCATTTGGCTGTTTAGGCTAAGAACACATTTATAATATTAAGTAAGCTGTATCAAACTATGTTGTTGGGATCACATAAAGCAAACTGAACTATTGATTACAGTGAAACCTAATGACAGATAACAATTAACAATAATAGTAGAAGTTATATTGTTACTGCTTACTGGCATGCATATGTTAATCAGATAACTAAGGTAATTGAACTTTACATAGTTTATAGCTTTCTTTAATAACCTTTCATACCATGGTTATTCATTTAGTTCTAAGGATAAGCATGTCATGTTTAATATAACATTTAAACCTTTTGAATTCCCAATAGGATTAAAGAAATAAATATATTTCAGAATGTAATATTCAAGTAGAATCAAAACTGCGAACTCTCTATTTATGAAAGCAATTGGCGCGTTCATTTACTCAGGGAATACTAATAAGTTACCAAGCCAAAGCAGGTACCTGTTTATTTTAAATTTCCGCCATAACTTACACTTTGTGATGGAAACAAAATTACGAATAGCAATTTAGCATTGTTTTTGCACTTTTTAACATATTGTGACGAGTAAATAACAACTCCAAATACGTGATCAACTACAACCGCAAACATAACGTTTGTGAGTGCAAATCCAATACATGGGTGCGGCCATGTGCGTGAAGTACAGAATAATGAGACACCGTACCTAGCAGCAACAGTTTAATATCTTTGGATGCTTGGATTCCATCATCTTTCAGGGTCTTTTCGATTGCCTTGCTACGAGCAGCGGCGGCGCGCTCTTCTGCCGACTGAGCGCAACCCATTTTGGCAGCTATCGGTGTGCCTGTGCCGCCGTCCGCCCCGACTCCCGAGCCGGGCGCACTCTCACCGCTCCCTCTGCATACGCTTCACACGCGTCCTGCCGCTCCGACTTCACCGGAGCCACCCTACACAATGTTAGCACCCAACACAGTAACCTAAATCTATCACTAAACACTCTCCGATTGACTCACTAAGATAGGAATATGGCCGCACAATGTAAACTTTCACAATTTTCTAATCCACTTCACACTGAAACGCGTAACGGCAGCGTAACTTTAATTGATTTTATGAATCCGTATGAGATAATGGCGGCCGGATGACAAGCACCAGCTCCACTCCGTGACGACTGACGGCGACCGCGCCCCGCTCGACTGACGTTCGTGTGCATTCGGCGCCGTTCGCTCGGGCTCGCTCACACATGCGTGAATCCGAATTCACACACGAAAGAGAACAAAATATGGTTTTACCAAAACTTTATAGATCTAATACCGCAAAAAATTTGAATAAAAGGTTTTCTATCAAAAACTATAAATTAAAAATCAATTTAGTTACTTAATTTTTTAAGATAGAATAAGATTGTCTGAATAATGGTAACTCTCAATTCTTTATTACAGTCAAGAAATATTTGAAGATGGTATGAGATAAACGTACAAACTATACAAAACAGATTACCTGCTATTACAGAAATTTCAAAAGCTCTCAGCAATATTACAGTTAATTCAAGCCATAGGTTAAGTTAATTATAATCACTTTCTTTAAATGTATCCTATTGTTATGACTATTATAGGATACATTTTAAGAAACTACTGTAAAAACTATCAGTAGCAACAAGTTTATTTGAGTAACTATGCAAATATATGGTGACCTGAGCACTTTTAATAAACCTATAGACTTTTATAACTAAACTTCATTTTCTACATTCCTTAAAACTAAGGTATAAGAGAAATAGAATGGCAAGTTGCCGAATTTTTTAACCCTAGTAACCTAAATATGGTATATTTTTCCCTACCCCAATTTTCCGTATTGTTCACCTTATTTACATCACCTACATAGATTTATCCTACCATATAATCATTAGCATTCTTTTACATTTTTTTTCTAATTCCTTTCCTACAAGTCTTAAACGACCTAAAACTCGTACAGGGAGTCTTCAAAGTATTGAAGGATTTTGCATAAAAATGTATGAATCATTTAGAGAATCAACAAGCAGAAACATTGTCGATTCGTGCCGATTCGATGTGCCGCAGTCGATATGGGTCCGTCCGAAGTGCGCGCGCTATGCATCAAAAGTCAGAGAGAGATAGAGAGAGAGAAACAGGCTCCATTACCAAGGAGCAGCAGCTTGATGTCCTTGGCGGCCTGAATGCCATCTTCTTTGAGGTTTTTTTCGATTTGCTTGCTGCGCGCCAGAGCGGCGCGTTCCTCGGCCGACGAAGCGCAACCCATGGCTATAGCGCGCACGGCGTGGCTCGCTACGCGCGGCAGCGCCGTGCTCCTGGCATGCTCCCGGCTCGTCGTCGCGCGCAAGTGGCACCGCGCACGCGCTCTATCGCGCACGCGTACTTTCCCAGTAGAAACTCGCGTTAACCGCGACGGTGTCTACTTCCCCGTCCTTCTTTTCCTTAGAGAGCGTCAAATATCCGTCCCTCTACCAAATAGAGGTCGCGTCGCGCTGTACCCCCGCGAACGAATGACGGGCGACGCAGCAGTTTCCTCACGGGAGCAGTGCGCAGGCTTACGTCTTCGCCTCCGCCTCCACCGATATAACCGATGCGAACCAAATTATGCTCTCTTTCCACCCTGGTATACTAATCACATCCTACCCTTACATATATAATCTGTCCTTTTCGATGTTTCAAATATTTGGACAAAGAGAAAAGTGTATTACGACTGTTTTATGCATGATATTTAATAATTATTAATAAGATCACAAAGTAAAAAGTCAGTCTTATCAACACATCTTCAAAAGAACAGTTAAACATTGTTTAAACAATGTTTAATTAAATTATGTTATAAATATGCTTAAACAATATAATTTTAGGAGTATCTCGGATTTCATAGTCTCTCGTAACTCGTAACCCTGTTAATTTACTCAATAGTATAGTAAGGGCCGATAAGGGCCTTCTATTTCTACGGCCTGCCTGTCCTAAGCAGCAGTTTTATCGCTATCACCGCCCTGGCCGTAGAAATCTCACCCAGGGCGCAGATAGCGTTAAAACTGACAGTGAATTTAAGTTTATTTTATCCATCCTTTTTGATAAAATCCTTGGGTTCTTCGATTAACTCAACGTCAATTATTTACTCTATGATTTTTATTTATCGTATCTGTAGACCAACCATAGACAATTTCAATCATGACATATACAAGGGTTGCCTGCATAGGTGTTTTCCTTATGTGATGGTAAATGGATAAATAGGCAGTTCGTAAGATTCTAATTTTCTGAATGTTTTTTTATTACTCAACCACTTTTCGTTCATCATTTAATAATTTTTTTTTTCGTTATTAATTCCCTCATTACTCAATGCAGTACTAAATATGAAAAAAAAAATGAAATTGTACACAGATTTAACTGTTTAAGCCATAAGTATATTTATTGAATAACTCTTTAAATTAATTTTAAAATGTAAGTCATTATTATAGTAGGATATGCACTTTCCTGTCTTTTTTATTTTTAGGAACTTTTGGGTGCAGCGTCACGATTGACATTGTCAAATCATTTATACCACTAAAAATAAATATAAGGCGGGAAAGCGACGGTTTATCACTTTTAATAAATATTCTAGCCATTTTATTACTAACATGGATTCAGACGACGAAATCGAGGAGTCAACGAAATGGGAAGGAAGTCCAGGTACTATTATACTTATTAATGCTATGGAAGACTCGAGTACACTTAACGTTGCACATGAAGCAACATGTTTACTGATAAGGCAGTATTTGCGATCATCGAGCTCTCACAATGTAGGAGTATGCCTTTACGGAACAGATCAAACACAAACAGACTTAAACTCTAACAATATTATTGATGTGATATCAATGGATACCCCAACCCTAGCAGGGTATAATAAATTACGTGCGATGGACATTCCATCTTATGGCAAAGCCACAGAGTATGTTTTATCGGAAGTTTTATGGCACTGTAGTAAAATATTCAAGGATTTCAAAAAGAAGCTGTCCTCACAAACTGTCCTTATTTTAACAAAATTGAATAATCCACCTATAAAAACTGATCAAAAACGAACTCTTGATAGAGTTGTAAATTTAGTTGGATCCCATACTAAGATCACATTTATCAATATTTCATCAGATGATTACCCAATTGACAAATTCTACAAAGAAATGTTGATTGATATTAATAAGTCTCAGGAGTACACCCTGCCAAAAGCAGTATGGGATCCCAAGGTAATACAAAATATGATGTATCAACAATCTCATCGGCACTTAGCTGTAGCCAAATTGTCTTTTGAAATTGGCCCTGGCTTTTCTATAGGTGTAGGTGTTTATAGCTTATTAAGAAAATCAAATCAATCTTATCACAAAACATCAAATATAGATGCAAAAACCAATGAACCATTAACAAGAGTGACAATGAAGACAAAACTTACAGTTAACCCTAGTACATCTCACCAAGACAGTGATGATGAAGTTAGTGGAGAACCTAAAGAGCTTCCCTTATTAGATTCAGAACTATTGTTCTGCCAAGAATATGGTGGTGAAAGAATAGAGTTCACTAAAAAAGAAAAGGAAGAAATGAGTAATCCATTTGGACCTCCTATGTTAAAATTGTTAGGTTTCAAACCCACTATAAAATTGTGCAAGGAGAAATGGTTTCTGAAAACTGGATATTTTTTATACCCAAATGAATCTATTATTGAAGGGTCAACAGTAGCATTTAAAGCTTTGCATAAAGCTTGCGATGAGATGAAAACTGTTGCTATATGTATGTTATGTACTAGAGCCAATTCAAGACCAAATATAGTAGCTCTTTCCCCTTGCACTAGGCCCTTGGATTTAGAAATAGAGATTGGTTTTGATGTTATTCACATACCATTTGCAGAAAATGTAAGAGACATACCACAACTTGATGAAGAATCTGAAAACCCAACTATACAAAAAAAACAGAAAGATGAAATGAATAAAATTTTAAATTGTTTGCTTTTTGACTATAAAGCTGATATGTTTGAAAATCCTAAATTGCAGTCCCAATATCGAGCTATAGAAGGTAAGGCTTTACAAGAAACATTTATTGAGCCTTTTGTTGATACAACAATACGAAAGCCTGAAGTATATCAGGTTATAAGGGAAGATGTATTTGAAGAGTTGTTTGGACCATTTGGAGTATCATCAATTAAAAGATCATGTAATGCAGATAAAAGTAATACTAAAAAAAAAATAAAAATTGAGGATATTAATGAAACTTTGGTGCAGGAAATGATAGTAAACAAATCTGTTGAAAAACTAACAGTGATTCAGATAAAGAATATATTAAAAGAAAGAGATATAACCTTTCCAAAAAGTTCCAACAAAAGTGATCTCTGCAAGCTGGTTTATGAAAATTGTGCTTAAAGTTGAATTTGTGATTTAAAAATAATGGCTAAGCTACATGTAATTTTAAGAGAAAGTTAAAAACTATTTTTGGTACTGTGATTTACAAAATTAAACAAATAATTATTCCATTTACATACATTTTAATCTTGTAATATTTGTTAGAACACAAATTACAAACAATAAATTAACTAACTATATCTTTAAGCTTTTATTTCTAAATAGATATTTTTAAACTACATTCATAAAGGTTTTAAACAGAAGTATTCTGTTGATACTTACAAGAATAGTAGTAACATTTTAATTGTGTTTACCACTTTAACTGTTTTAAATTTTATTTAATCTTAAGTGTTATAAGTCTTAGATATACAATGAGCCATCAGCAGGCCCGAGGTGGTGAATTCCAATCAACAAAGCATCAACTAATGTCCACACTCCCAATCCACCAAAACTGAAAAGTTTCCCTATACCCTCTTGCCAATGACCGAGATAAAACCTATCTGCACCAAAACCACCCAATGTCAATGCAAGTATAAGGGCTGTGCCCCAACATGTCCCAGCTGTCCATGAACATCTTATTTTCTTCAAGAATCTTCGTTTACCCAAACAAATAATGTCATCTGACACAGTACAGTTTGTTCTAGAAGAGAAAATACAAATGAACTTAATTTTATAGTTTATGAATTACTAGCTATTGCTCGCGACTTTGTCTGCGTGAAATTAAAAAGCAATAAAAAAGTTACTCAAATAAATTGCCTTTCTAACAGTAAAAGAATTTTTAAAATCGGCCCATTAGTTATTGAGTTATTTCAATACATACAATAATACAAATCTTTTCTCTTTACAACATTAGTATAGTATAGTTTAATACATTTTAGATGACTTACGTATAATATTTCAAAGGTGATGCTAAGGAATTGCAATTAGCTTTTTGATCACAACGATGTTCCCATTTATCTGTTTGATAGCAAAAGTGACACATTGATGTTCTGTTAAAAGTCTTGGAACCCTAAAAGTAAGACAAAATTGTCAAAGAAAGCTCTAGACTAGACATTTTTTTACAGGATTATTTGAAATTTCATGCTTTCAAACCTCTAATGGATATTCTTAGATAATAAACAAGCTAAATTATATCAAGCACTTACATTGCAGACAATTTTTGGTTTCACGAAACAAGTATAGTTGTACAAGTTTCCATAGACACAATCAATACTTCTGTCACAAGTTATGCAAGGATAATTGAGTACAGCACAATCTGGAACTTCCTGTTCTAATGTTGGACAACTTTTCAAATAATCATCACTGCCACTGAAGTTAATAGCTTTGTCTCCTGTATCTCCTTTTAACTTATTCTCTTTACTCTGTATATCCATGTTATTATTTGCTATAAAATAAAAATATTAATAGACATGAATTGCAGAACACTAAAAAGTCTATAATCAATCTAATTCAGCACTATTAATAAATGTAGAAATAAGGAAATTACACTGGTGCTAGTTTCTTTGTATTATGAAATGTTTTAGTTTTACGTAGAGATATGGTTATCTTAAAGAATCCGAAACTTAGTTATAATTAAAACATGTACTTACCCATATCGGTTACATGGATTGTATTAAATATGATTAACAAAATTAAAACAAAACAGTCCCTAATTGTAATCCTTAGAGGTAACAACGGTCGCATTTTTGTAAAATTAGGAACTTTTTACATTGCACAAAATCTAGATAAAGTTCTTCTTATTTTATTTATCAACAGAATGTAATATATTTTATTGTCTACTTTCTTAAAAGTGAAAAAAGGGATTTTAACAACAATAACAAACGATCAATATCAAATCAAACTCAAATGTCATCTCTTGTCAATGTCAATACATACAAATAAAAAACTAAAATGTCAAAGAGCATGTAAGTAACATAGGAACTTTGTGTGTATGATTTTTCTCCTTTAATTCAATAAGGCCATGAAAAACTACAATTTAAGGATACAAAAGGCTTCCTTTTAGGCTTACAAAGATGGTAAGCTAGTGTCTACTAACTGTAACATAAATGGAAGTTTCTTTTATTCAAGTTAAATCTGATTATAAGTGAGTTTTTTAACAGTCGTGTGCAATGGTAATTGTTTCATCCATGTAAGCTAAGCTAACGGTTAAGATTTAAGCTGAAGATATCTCAAGAATATAACGCTTTGAACATTGGAAAATAATGAACAAATTAATATTTAAAAGACATTTATTGAAGTTTGTTTAATTAATACTCTGTTTACTTTTTAAAACTTGATATCTAAAAACTTAAAAATTACTATCAAAAAGACTCTGCGAAAGTAAATCATTTCTCGTGTCTCCGTCCGGGTCTACCGGTCTATTGTCGTTATCCTTAGACATTTCTGTTATTGTAGATAAATTGGGTACAGCACAAGCGACGGGAAATAGTTTATCGAGATCAGATGCAAAGTCAAAATTTTGAGGTAAATTGGTGTTTGTATTTTCATCTTCAGACAAAAGATACCATCTTGAAGCTCTATCAGAAATTTGCTCTTGATCCGGTTCAGATAGATCTTCTGTTATAAGGCTATTGGGAGATTCCCTACTTAGCATTGGCAATGTTTCATTACAACTTACATTTGCTGGAATAGGTTGTATAACTGAAAACAAAAAAAAATGTCAAACATAAGAAAGTGAATAATTCGATTAGATAAGAGATTTTGTAGTTGATGTGGATGTGGTTGGATGTGGATATAGTTTATTAGGATACAAGTTTAATTAAAATAATGACAAAAAATTGTAACATCTGTACTTACCATTACACGAAATATTTGCAGCACTATCACCTATTAAAAGTTCACATTGTGTGTGTTTGACGAAGTCAGTGCCCGCCTGACTGTCAATTTCAATGTTATTAGAAAGATCCGAGTCAGTAACGCATATAAGAGATTTGTGACTTTCAACGTATTCTACGCTATTATCTAAACATTCGTCTGTTTGTAAACATGTTTCAGAATGGTTATGTATAAGTTCGACACTTTTGTCTAACTGCTGATGTATACTGGATTCTGTCTCATTTATTCCACTATCACCATGTACAGATTTGGTTTCTCTATTATTATCTTGTTTTCTTAAAATTTCCCTCGAATGACTTCTAGCTTTAGGTCTGAGAATTTTAACTTTGATAATATCTTCTTTTTTCTTTCTACCTCTTGAATTTCGCGGTTTTGTAGTTTGATTGGCAGATTCTGGATTTAAATATTCCACGTTAGATGAATTGCATGTTAACGGGGGACACGATCTCCTTGCACTTTGTGAACAAGAATCTGTATGTTCTTCTTCGATAAATGCTTCTATACTAGGGTTTTTCTTTTTTGTCTTTTTACTGATTTGGCGCTTTAGTGGCGTAGAACAACGTTTATTTGATCTTTTGTTCTTGTCAACTTCTATGCCATTATCTACATCCATTGCACTGCTGTCTCTAGGCACTATAATTTGTGGTATTGGTTGTATTTTTTTCGTACTTTCTAGAAGCAGATTACGTATCTTTTGGTGTAAACTGTCTGATATTGTAGGATTATCTTGATTCAAATTTACTGTGCACAATTTATTTAAGATAGAATCTGTGTCCATCGCATTTTCACTGTTTTGATTGTTATTTTGTTCTGCATTTAACGTTGTAGCTTGGTTGTCGCAGTCCGGTCCCATTAATAGCATTGTCACGTCTTCATTAGTTAAAAGATCGTTATTACATTCTTCTATTTGATGTCCATGTACATTATCATCGAAGAAACCTTTCAAAGAATTTTTGTCGATGGATAAATTTTCTACAATAGATAGAATGGGAGAAGGAGGTAAAGACACATTGCTGGAACTATTACCATTAGAGGTGTTTGCAAGTGTAAGTAAATCTTTATCAGTAGAAGGTAGTTCAGCATTATTTTCACTAGCATTATTTATTATTCGTTCTAATTCCTCTGAGAATGCATTGAACACTGCATTTGTTGGGTTCATTCCGATATTTATTTTCGCTTTCGGCATCAACAACTGTAATGACTCCGATCTATAGATATCTGAGTTTGAACTGAATCCTTCCTTTTGTATTGACTTTGACAAACCAAGATTTGGACATGAGTTGCTCGATTGATCGGACATTTCGTAATAATTCAATTGACTCCTCCTACGATTATTTTTCCGACTGATTGGTCTTATTTTGTCGCTTAACGTGTTTCTTCTTAACTTTCTTTTTCTAAGCAGTTTTGGCGGACTTACATCAGAGTCCTGGTACCCTTGACTGCTTTCTATAGTGTTCAAAATCGCGGTATCCAACGTTGTAACAGCCGCGGTTTTCTTGACGCTGTTAAATATGAAAAAAAAGGGTTATGGCATGCGAACAAGCAGGAAAAGCGTCATAGGTGTTACAAATTATAAAACCATGCCGAGGGTGAAAAATGCGTGCAAAATAAATTAAAAAAAAATGAATGTACCCTTACTTAACATATAAAAAAGCCCACATTTTTTCAGGATAATTAGAAACAAATATTAATTATAATCAGGAAATAAGGTGCCATGAAAATGATGACGACTGATTTTTTTTTATTTTATCAAGCCAATATTTACTGTGCGTTACATGTCTCAGTGAAAAAAACACACTTAAACAGGTGGTTAACGAAAAACATTGCCATTCTGAAAAATCATGCACACTTTTTGGTTATAAATCTAATTACTGTCTCTGGTTAAGTCTTTTTTTAACACTTTCACTGCTACCTCGATTACAGAGTGTACTTTCATACAAAAAAGTTGTAGCAGCATGGGTGTTACTAACTTTCACAACATACCTTTTACCGCACTTGTTTTCCATCCATACTTTTAATATACAAAGCATACAAGCATTAAGCCAGATAAAGACATTGTCCAAGCCACACTTACCATACTACTTAACTACTTAACCTCTTAAGTGAAAGTTTCAAATTTGTTGAAGAAATAAAAAAACTTGATTCTAAAACAATTTATTTGCCACAATTACACACCTAATCCCATTCATACGAACATTACAGAGAAAAAATCATACTACATATTTCAAGACATGGGTACTTATATCTAAAGTTGCTAAAAATACGACAGAATTCTGTATCTAATTTTCGACTCTTAATACGAAGAAATATAAATGCACAGTAAAATATAAAAGTTAATACAAATAAATATGATTTATATCACTACTATAAATCTACTTGTACTGTCATTTCATATCTGTATGATACAATTCAATTTGAAGATATCTTTTACACAATTTTAACCTTTATATGTACTTACTTCATAATTAATTAAAATGTATATAATCGAATCAATATCCTGATACTTTTGAAAAAAAAAAACATTCTCAAAATATAGATATTTCACATTTGTGACAAAGTTCTGTTCACTTTAGCATAATTTAAAAATCAAACCGCGACTAATAATTAAAAATTTTAAAAAAGTAGATCAAAACATCCCACCGGATTACAAGAAATTGTACAAAGGGAAAGCTTTCTAATAAAATAGTCCCTAAATAAATAAATTAACTAAAAGGAGAACAACCATTTAATTAAAATATATAAATGCAAAAAGTTTCCAGATTAAGATACTTTATTTAATTTTTGATACAACTAGAAATATTATCATAGAATAATGACCAGACCATAGATAGTTTGATTCACAAACATTAAAAGGGTAAAAATGCAAAAAATCTGCAAAAATCTGATTATTCGATTGTGTATGTTAAAATGAACAGTTTGTATATCATATATGTAGACATTAATATCACTACTCACTATGTATTCTTAGTTTTTGTATGTTTCGTTTTGTTGGCGGTGGATCTCGTAGCCTTCCTGACGGAGCGCGGCGGGGAAGGGAACTTGTATCTCACGTTGGTCTCGTCCTCTGTCACATCGGCTGGCTCTTTGCTCTTCTTTGTTCTTGTAGTTACTTTACTTTCAGTGCTCTCTACAATAGAAAAAAGTTATTAAAAAAACTTGATACCTAAAAACCTAAAATAGCATAATATTCTTTAATGATAATATTTGTTACTTAAGACAAAAAACATGAATATGAAATCGAATAGTTACTCCTTCGACAAGATCAGCCCCCTTAGACATTCCTATCAATATCACTGATCGAAAAGTCAAAAATGTAAGTATGAAACTGTAAATAATATTCGATAAGTCACGTGCTTGTTACGTATTACGTATATGTACATTTCGGCAAATTTTGTTGATTCTACTAGCGTTATCTCTAATCCAAAGTCTCTTTGTCTAGGGAGGCAGTTGTTTCAACTCTAAGCATAAAAATGGAATTAAAATTTAATAATTAAGATTAAAGACACAAGAAAACATTACCCTCTTTGTCAATTGGGTAATAAAAAGTTTAGATAATTAAATTACACAGTTTTGTTAATTGGTAGTATAGATAATTAGCTTTCGTCCGTGACTCCGTCTGCGTAGAATTTAAAAAAAAAAGCAAGTAGCCATTGTGTTCTTCCAGACAATCCTCTATGTATGTGCCAAATTTTATCGACATCCATTCAGCAATTTAGGCTAAAAACTCTAGTAAACCTCCATCTGTCTAAACTTTCGCATTTATAATATTAGTTAGAAGTAAGATGTTATTGACGAATTGAACACATTTCAAAAGAACTCTATGGAGAGTCAATAATATTGAATGTCACTGAAGCAGCTATCGACGTTTTAACTTAATAAATATTCCTGACATAAAATCCACACTTAGGGTCACACTTAGTACAGTAAACAGAACATGTGGCAGTTAATTTAAATCTGCGTTTAACTCACCTCGAAGAGTATTCATGGATCTTCTTGTAACTCGTTTCGGCACAGTAGTAGGGGATGTTTTATTTTCACCATCTCCTGAAGCCAGTTTTTCCACATTCTGTTCTTTCTCCACATTTTGTACTTTCTTCATATTTCGTTCTTTCTCCACTTCATTAGATGAGTTTAATTCATTTTTCTCTATTTCTGGTGTCCGTGGGTCACTCATTATAGACTTTTTACTTATTTCTGTTTGCTCATTTCTATTATATATGGAATAAAAGATAATGGTATAAAAGAATGTCAAATATTCGAGTATTAATTTTATTTAAAACTAATATTCGCCCTCAAAGTGAGATAATAAATACGCAAGGAATTAAAAAAAAAAAACTTAGTAAGTTGTTGGTGTGTTCCAGACTATCTACATTTATGCTAAATTTCATGTATCCACACTTTCGCAATTTTTTATAGTAAAAGGAGGATCGCTTTATTTCAATATCCACCAATATTAAGATAAAAAAAATAGCATGTAATTATGTCAGCTACCCTTCAGTGAATGTCCTGTCGAAATCAGCCCAGCCGTTTCGGAGATTACAGATAGACAGACAGACAGACAAAATTTAAATGCAATTTTCGTTATCAGCAACGCAAATACATCTTCCCGAAATTTGGATTTTTTCTATTGATATACAGACAGACAGACAGACAGATAATAAGATTAGTAAGATAAATACCTTTTGGACAGTTTCGAGGAGTCACTGGATATTGACAGGGGAGTGATGCTTCTTTCAATTTTGTCGCGAGCATTGATCTCTGCAAATATCTCCGTCTCCAGTTTACTGACCGTGGCGTGCGTCACTGCTAGTCGGAAACAATAACACATTAACAAAATCTTTACTTATTTATTTTTACTAATACTAAGTATAATTAAAGTTGACTACTAGTAACTAGTGTACCAACCCAACTGTAATTAGGTAATGTATTTAAACAGTGGGGCAAAATATATTCAAATATAATATATTAACTGCAAACTTTGGGTTACATATTTTTTTTAATACTTAGGGCCTGTCCCGCTAAAATTGTAAATTACCTGATAACAATCCAACATGTAAAATATGTGACGGAAATATCGGATTTTGTTTCCTTATCAGACAGTGACGTCATGTTTAAGCTATCATCAACCAGTGGTGGGACAGGCCCTTAATATTTTATAGAGGAAATATTTGTATTGTATTGGAATAACTCAAAAATATGACACAATAAATAACTCAAAAATAAAAAAAAACGTAGAGATATTATTGATTTTTCATCCAATCGTTTAATTTGTATTTTCGGTCCCTGAATACCTTTATAGTTTTTTTTGTTAACTAATGAATTATACGTACCTGGGTCTATATGTGGTATAATTGGGGTAGACAGTCCACTGAGGCAGGTTTTAGACTGTTTCGAGGGAGGTGAAGGTTTTGATTCCGTTACAGGTTCAACTTGTTTGTGGAATATTTCATACACATGGTCAAAGATTGGGTGTAGTTGAGACCAGTGACCTTCTAATTCTATTTCCTATAAAAAAAGAATCAAAACGTTACTTCTTACTAATGTTATAAATACAAAAGTTTAGATGGAGGGATGTATGTTAGAATTTGTAGTCAAACAGCTGAACAGATTTCGATAAAATTTGGTATAGATGTAGAGGATAGTCTGGAAGAACACATAGGCTGCATACTTTTGTTTATATACAAGAAAGCTAGTATTTACATTTTATTAGTATTACAATGTTAGGTGAGTTTTTTTTTTAAAAAAATTAGTTGCATAAATTATTTTTTACCAAGTATATTACGATATCAGTAATGACAAATGAAAAAAAAATGTGATGTTTTAATATTTGCTAAAACACATACCTTATTCTGTTTCGTTATTTTAATTTTAACAGGCTCATTACGAACTACTTCTTTCGGTAACGCAGGTTCTTTTTGTACTTCTGGTGCAGTTTTATTTGGTATATTTTCTGGTATTGCTAAAAAAAATTAAATCACAGGTTTTATATTATCTAAAAGAGGATTATCTAATGTATGGTCTTTTTCCTACATGAAGTTACCCCCTAAGTTTAATAACGTGAAAACATATAACTTAAAGTGTGTCGTAAGAAGGGCTTTTTAAAGAAAGAATTATATAAAAATATACTGTGATTGCTGACATCCTACGCCACGAAGTAATGTATGTTTACGCTTTATTATATTTGTATAGATACATACCAGAAGTTTCTAGTTTAGTTTCCATTTGAGGTGTAGATATTTTCTGTTTCCTGTAATGAAAATAGTTCTGTTATGCATACGAGGTTATTTATGTACAAAAATCGTTTGCATAAAGGTAACACAAGGATTTTAAAAGATACTAATATTATAAATGTAAAAGTTTAGATGGATGTTTGTTAGAGTTTGTAACCTAAACAGCTGAACAGATTTAGATGAAATTTAGTATAGATGTAGTGGATAGTCTAAAAGAACACATAGGCTAATCGTTTTTGTTTTATCTTATTCTACGCGGACGGAGTCGCGAGCGAAAGCTAGTAATAAATAATTTGCGATACTCACTTTGGCGGACTGGGATTTGTTAGATCAACTTCTGAACATCTATCACTTTGAGGTTGATTGTTGTTTTCTGATTGGCGGAGCAGTCTGTCAAATTTAGTAAAAATAATAAATATTTTTATTCAAATGTTAAAAAACCAAAAGTGTCTAAAAAACTTACTTAGTCAATTGAGCTGCTCGTTTCTTTTCTTCAATATACTTATGTTTCCAATAAGACTCGTCTTCGTCACCTGAATCGCCTGTGAGTAAATTTATAACAAATAAATCGTAAATAGAAAAGTCTCATGAATTCTTAAAAATACATTTAAAGAAAGATATGTTAAAATAATAAACATCATTTTTTAGAAATTTATATTACAAAGTATTACAAAAATCTTACGTTCTGAAGCGTAAGTGACATATCCCTTGACTAGTTTCCCGTCTTTCACTACGGGATATATTTTCTTTCCATGCATTACAAATAAACCGCCGTTTTCTTCAAGAGAATATATTCGGGCTGGTTTTTGTCTTCTGTGGAGAAAAAAAACTTTTTATTGATGCTGAAATATTAAGGTATTTTTAAATCACAAATTAGATACTTACAGATATTTTTTTGGATGTCTGTCTTTTCGTCCACGCGGCGGAGAAACATATTCTGTGTCGCTCTCTGAAGTCCATTCACTTGAGTCTGAACTTAATAATCTGGTACTGGTAGACAAATTCACATATTCATATACTTATATAAGATATATATTCATTTTTTTTAATAAAAGGGGGGGGGGGGGCAAACAAGCTGCAGGAACACAGAGGTGGTTAACGACGCCCACGGACATCCTCAACAGAAGAACAAGAGATGTGTTGCCGACCTTTGAGGAAATTATACGCTTGCTTCTTGAAGGACCCTAAGTCATGCTGGTTTTTATTTATTTATTAAATTCTTTTGTACAAAATGACACTACACATACTTAAACTAAGACAAGAATTGCGTAAGGGCCGTATTGCTATAGGCAATTTTTTACAGGTAACCCAGTGGGACAGGAAAAGCTTAAGCTTAAAAGAGTATGTATTTGTATTTTAGAATGTATTGAAAAAACTCAAAAACTACTGGGTCACTTTCAAAAATTTTTTACCGTTAAAATCTCAATATCAGTGAATAACATCGGCTATATTGTTTAGTATTTGTTTTTAATTTTCACCAGAACAAAATCTGGAGCAATACCTAGTATTACATATATTACATTTTCGCCTCCCTTGTGCTCCATAATCTCTGCCTACTATTATAGAACTATGATATTTCTTCTTACCGTGGTTGTCGAGGCGCCGATTTCCGATGACTTATGCGTCGTTTACGGCCGTGTCTGGTTGCACCTTAAAATATTATTTACTTTAATATATGGCAGAGTATAAACACACTTTTTTAAAGGTATAAGCAAATTGTTATGTCACATTACACAATACAAGCTTCAAGATAGAAGTAAAATGTGCACATCGACTTATCTAAGTTTCCCTAGATAAAAAAAACATGTGCATTTTTCAATAATCAATTCTTTTTTTTATTAATGAAGACCATTATATTTTGTAACGTTATTTAATAGTGTTTTAAGAAAAAAATGATATCTACTTAACTGTAAGCCAACCCATGCCACACTTAAAGCTTATATAACTTACCGCTAGAAAATCCAAACACATTAGCTAATATTTTCTCCCTTTCAGATTTAATGGGAACTCTGTGTACCGGTGGAGATTTTCTTTTAAGTTCACTCTCTGAGTGCGATTCTGAGTGGGATGTTAACTGTAATATATCGTTATCGGAATTTTTGGTTTCTGTATTTCTTTCTTTCGGCCTTTCTCTGGTTTCTGGTACACCTGCGTCACTTGATTCGGTGTATCTGGTCGATGTAAACTCTTCTTCATACAAGCTGACACTTTTCAAGCAAGGATTTTGAATCTCGGGGCTGATATTCTTTGTAGGCTGTATTTTTGTTACATCTGTTGCTGGAATTTCATCCTCATTGATCTCTGTTACTTTTTCTAACTCCTTTGTGTTTCTATCAGGTATGCTTTCCTCTTTCTTTTCTGTATTAGCCATTTTTAATTTTTTAGGCTTAGGTTTTGAATATGTTTTTGTTACAATGTTATTGTCTTTCTGATTTTCTTTAATTCCAACATCAGTATCAGACACTGAAAAAGGCTTTGAATTTTTTATTAAACTCCTTTTACCTTTTGGAACTGCTGGACCTTGAGAAGTTGCCCGTTTCCTTTTATTTGATTCGTTAATTTTGAATTGCGCTTCTTTGTCTTTTTCAGTAGGTTTAGACTGATTGTCTTTATTATTCTCAGTAGATTTGGACTGATTTTCTTTACTATTCTCAGTAGATTTAAACTGATTTTCCTCATAATTCTCAGTAAGTTTGGACTGATTGTCTTTATTCTCAGTAGATTTGGACTGATTTTCTTGACTATTCTCAGTAGTTTTAGACTCATTATGTTTGGTTTGACTGACCATTTCACATTGAGTATTTAAAGCTTCTTGATTATTAGGAATTATTGAGTCTGTTGTATTACCAGTTGTATTTTGAGTTATAATCTCCTCACCATTGTTTATCTTCTCAGGTTCATTTTGTATAGAATTTCTGATATCTTCTGCATTGTTAGAAGTCACAATTTCTTTGTTTTTGTCTGTATCGATAAAAGTCACTTGTTCTGAAGCAAGGTCACTAGAACTTTGGACAGTTACAACATCTTCCGTTGATGTGATTTCCTGAACAGATGTTTCGGTTGCGGTTTGTGTCACCTGCCCTGTCTTATTCAATTGCTCATTGTTTTCTATTGTAACTTCATTATCTTGATCATTTACATTCTTTTCAGATTGATCTGGGGATACATTTTGATCGCATACATCTTCTGTGTCCGAAATTACAATTGCCTCTGTTGTTTCATTAATGGCTTTAGAACTTTCAGTGTTAATATTTTCCACGATTTCCATCTTAGATACAGTATCTGACTCTTCATCGGTTGCAAAATCATTAATTACATCTTGGATTGCAGGTATCAGTGGTTCTGAATAAGTTATGAAATCGCGTAATGATTTTTGTGTTGTTTGACTGCTGTTATTTTTCTCGTCATTTATACCTTCCAATTCCTTTTGTATATCTTCAGCAGTATCATAACAAGTATCAATTACAACAGTTTCAGCTGATGATCTATGCTGGGTTATGGTTTTTGTAGATATTGTATCCTCACCTGATTTCTTTCCACTTGCATTAGCATTGCTTGTACTGGGATGCTCTGTATTTATTGCCTGCTCAACTAAAAATTATAATCAAATTTATTTATAATATTTACTTTTTTAAATAACTTTTTATTGAGAATCTTTAATACACTTACTATCTATGTTTGATTCTTCACTTACAGTCCTTATTTCTAGCTTGTTGTTGAGTTTTGCTTCTACATCATACCTTGAATATTAAACATTAGTTAAATATAATAACTATACCAATTTCCCATAACATATTCACAAATAAATATACCAACATTGATTTATTTAGTTGCTGTATAATGTATAGTTAATAATTATTAAAGTTCAATAATCCATAAAATTGTATAAAATGTGGTTTTTACTTTATTTAATTTGTTAAGATCTCAGTATATTAATCTAATTTCTTACTGGAACAACACATACCCTCCTAATATATTTTTTATCCATCATAGACAATGCAGCAACAGCAAATGATACCTAAAAGTCAAAGAATAGTTGATACCTAATAATGTTCTATTACTTACCCATTTCTAAAACTGCTGATCTGTGTCACTGATAATTGATAATATGGATTATGAATATCAGGGAGAATACGCTTTAGAAATGTTTCTTTCAAACTTTGCCATGTCCGATCTAAAACCTAGAAATAAATTAAAAAAAGTAGAAGGTAATACACTGTTCCAGTGGTTATTAATCCTTAATTACTGAGAGAATTACATATGCAAGGTTTTTTAATCTTTTACTGTTTCTTTTATTGAATGAAACAATGAAAATATTGGAGAAATTACCTCAAAATTTTATTTTTAAATCAAGCTTAACACTACTTTGGTTTAGGACACTTTTAGTGGAATAAAACCGAAAATCAACTTTATAGTGAATTTTTCATCAATAAAGCATTCATTAAGGTAAAAATCTGCAATGTGACTTACCTTTGACCTTTCAAAATCCACCCACATCTTTCTACCCTTTATTTCGTTGTAAGCCTTGTGTTCTGTCAAATAATCCACTATGGATTTCATTTCTTTTATTGTATATGCTTTCCTGAAACAAAATTGTTATGAATACATTTAAACATCAAATTTTTTTACCGTGAGCACAAATAACATACATATTTATCCTTCTGTTCATAAACTGAAAACTGGCATAAAACATAAGAGGTATAAGAAAAAATAGACGTGATTATTACAACCATGAAAATGTAGTTATTTTAAAGTAAGTTTATAAATGAAGAAATAAAATTAGTGTTAGATTGCAATATATTATCTTATTGTGTTTGTTTACTTGTTTTTGCTTGTAACTTACCCCGACATTTTGGAGGGTTCTTCCTTGATACCGGCTTCTAATATAAAATTTTACTAATTGCTTTAACTACCGCATGTTAGAAAAGAAAAGTCAAAAAATAATTTAATAAATATATGGAGACAAAATGAGCACAATTTATGAATTTTAATAATCAATCTTTAATCACAAATAACAATACGACGGAAAAACTAGTCAACAACTCAAAATGAAATCGACGCTTGATAATAAAGAATATAAAATCTAAATAAACTGTATTTGACAGGTGAGTTTATCTTTAAAAATGGGAAATTAGATGAACGTTGTAATACACAGTCGTAAATAAAAACCTAAGGGTTTTTATTTTTATGTATAATGATAATTAATATTTTGAAAACGTTGTTAACCTTATTTTAAACTGATAAAATGGATGGGTCATTGATGGGAAAAGAGCGAAATAACAGTTTTTGCTTAGTTAGAACTTAACCTATTCACAGGTAATTGTATCTCTAACATTAGTTTGAATCCTCAATTCTCACACCACTATCATGTGATATCTTCAGCGTTAAAATGGCGAAACTCAGAAAGCCACAAAATAATACTTTTAGCCTGTCTATATACTATTTTACAATATCTCTAATCACTTATTTGTATCTGTGTATTGAATAAACTATAACTTCACAGATATCTATAATCTGTGAGGTATTAGATTAGATTTGACGTTGATTGTTAATGTTTTGTTTTGGTTTGTTTTTCCCAGTTTTTTACAACTATTTAACACTCATTTTAAATTAGAATAAAAATACCTTACTAATAATATGTCTCGGCAATCAAATTATTTATCTATATCGGATATATTGGTTACTAATGAAAAAATACCTTGTAAACTTCTACATGATTTGCCTAAAATGGGTAACAATCAACTTAAGCATACAAATATTTCCTATTCAAATATCTTTAGTGAATATTATGGAAATTTTTGATATTTCTAGGATTCTTAGATCCTTCATCAACTGAAGATGATTTGAAAATGGGAACAAACGTTGAAATACCTCTGTGGCTAGCGGAATCTTTATATTTCCGAAGACCTCCATTGGTTAGTGTTGACCTGCCAAAAATATATAAAGAAGCATATAGAGAAATACTGAATGCAGATGCATGTACAGTAGACTTGCATAAATTAGGTCAACATTTTTATGAACTTGGCTGTTATATAGCAAAACATGATATAAAAGGTGAAGTTGCTAATACACTGATTAATGTGAGTATTTTTGTTAATTACCCTCTTTTTTGTTGAGATTGTGAGATAACTAAGTTTGATATTTAAGCCTGAGGCTGTTACTTAAAACAACCTTTAAAATTTTGTCAAGTTTCATGCTCTACCAATCATACTTCATACCAATATTATAAAAGTCTGAGGTTAGATAGATGGATCAATGTTTGTTGTAGCCTAAACGGCTAAACAGATTTCAATGAAATTTGGTATAGATGTTAGGGTAGTCTGGAAGAACACAGTCTTTATTTAGTATTTTGTACTTACTTTTGGTTTTTTCTAAGTCCATGCGGACAAAATCTAGTAAGTCAATAATTTTTGGTTGTCATGTAAATTGTTTTTGTAAAATTACAGACTTTCAGGCAAAGGTTTCGTATGATATTATCTGCTAGTTCTTCAAGTGATTCCATCAGTTCATTGCAACCATTATCGGAAAGTGAAAGGGAACGCACAGCTGCTGCTGCGGTGACTGAAAAAGCTTTATCCCTATGGTTGCAGAGAGGAGACTGTCCATTAAGCACTGCTAATATGGTCGCTAGTCATAGGAAACGGAAAAGAGCTGAAATGGAAATGTTTTGAAATGTTATAAGAAATTTTGGAAGTCTCACTTGTTTATTGTCTTTAAGAATTCTTGTTTGTTAAGTAAATACTAAAGATAATATAAATACGGAAATTTAGATGGATGAAAGGATGTTACTATGTGTCTCCATGACACAATAATGGATCCCACTGAAGAAATGTTGAACACAGGCTTCTATTTGTTTTTTTTTTTAAATATTGCGCAGACATTGCCACAGTTGACAGCTAGTGTTTAATTATTTCAATAATGTGAATGAGTATGAATGAATATTTAAATAATTTATCTTGTAAGTAAAAACAAATAAAAGTGTAGTTTAAATATATATTTGATTATTTTCCTCTTATGCATTTAACTTATTACATAATACAAGATAGATTAAGGTGTTTTCTTTACTTCTTAAAGAAAAAATACTTTAAAATAATTAGATTACACAGAGAGTAATAAATATTTATTGCATGTTAAATACATTCATTCTTAAATTCCCCAAAAACTGTATATTATACAAAGATGTTTATTATATTACCTCATATAGTGTTACTTGATTCAATATTAAAATTTATCAAATATTTTGAGATCACAACTATGAACAAATTACAATTAAATTATGTTACACTCATTATTACATAAGAATAGTGAATTAGTTTCACTAAAAATTCGAAAGCCAATAAATAGCAGCTATTTTTTTGGATTAAAAACCTATAAATTTATAGTTAGTGCAAGGTTTTAACTACAATAAAGAAAATTAATACACACTATTATTACATTTTTTGCATAAATCTATTGCTGCTAAAGAGTAGAGGTCACAGTTTTAGTTTATACACAAGCTACAATTTACTTTATAAATGAAAATATTACAGCTAAACAAGTGTAAGAGAATCCCTACTATATAGGCAGCAGAAATATAAGAAATTATTTAATTAGCAGCCTACCATACAGAGTAGCAAACATTTCCAATTTAAGTAATCATCCAATTATTATATAACATTCAGTAAAATGGTTGATGCTTATACTTGATTAAAAAGTATTACCAAACTGGACTCTGAAAATTCTTCTATATCAAGAACATACCAACCCTACACATAATTACTATAAATTAATAATTACATTGCATAATTACTATTAAACTATTCAATAAATTAATAATTACACTTTCTTAAATACATGTTATGGTAAAATTATGAATAAATTTCAATTCATTACATTTACTGTAACATATACATCACTTAAGTTTCTCTGTCACAATTCTACACTTCTTTGTCTTTATCACAAAATAATAGTTCTGATGTACATTTGTACGGGTGTATTGATTGTTAACATCTGTCATTCTTCACAGATGGATTAAGGTCATGGAAGTAGGCATGGGCCATCGCATCATCTGCAGGCATTCTTAAAGCTGGGTTACAGGTTAGCAGTCTGGCTAAAAGATCTCGACCCCTGGCTGGTAATCGAGGAACAACTTGTGCGATACCCAAGCTAGGCTGGTATACTGGTAAAGGCTTGTAATCAGGCAACTGTGTCACTCCAGGCCATGTATCTTCATTTGGAGTGCCTAAAACAGTTTATTAATTAACATATAGTTATAAATATTAATTCTTTTGTACGAGACAGTTGAGTAGGACATAAATTAGTAAAAAATATAAAATAGTAAACAAGGTATCTTACCAAGTAATTTAAAAATCCTTTTGAGTTGATCATCTACATCAGATCCAGGGAATAATGGTCGGCCAGAATTAGCTAATTCAGCGAAAATGCATCCTGCTGACCACATATCAATACTAGTAGTATATAACTTAGCTCCAAACAAAACGTCTGGTGGTCTATACCACAAAGTGACTACTTCTGCTGAGTAACATTTGACAGGTATACCAAAAGCTCTTGCTAAGCCAAAATCGGCCAACTTAAGTTCTCCATTTTTATTAATCAAGAGATTCTGTGGCTTCAAATCACGATGTAAAACATTGTGACTGTGACAAAAAGCTAATCCTCTGAGTAACTGATACATGAATGACTTCACCACATCAAGATCAATTTCACCATTGAGACTATCAAAATACTTTTTTAAATCTTGGTCACAATGTTCAAATACTAAAGTCAACTTCTTTTCACTGTGCAACACGTCGTAAAGACGAACAATATTCTTGTGTTTAAGTTCTTTGAGAAGGCATATTTCGCGTAAGGCAGACGATGGAACACCTTCATCGTCGTCATCTAACCTCACTCGTTTTAATGCTACTATTTCGTGAGTTTCTTTATTTTTTGCTTTAAAAACGGTCCCGTATGTGCCTTCCCCGATTTTCTCAAGTTTTTCGTATTTCTGCATCACGGATAGTGTAAATAGAAAAGGTAGTTGAAGTAAAGGCACTAGTATTATTTATCGTAATTACTTCAGTCACAAGCTTCGCAAGAATATATAACTGCAAAAAGTATAAAAAGTTAATCCTGTATTTTGGTATTTTATCTTAATAATAAATTATGAAATTTTTTATACGAAAAATCAGAATTTTATATAGGTCTACAAGGATCTTGTGGCATATTTTTGACATTGACAAGGGGGCCTACTAGTACTAGTACTTAAGAGTTACCAGCAAGGTACTTTTGCCACATTTAAAGAAAATTCTCTGTTTGGAGAAAAAGACACAAATCGTAAAGAAAGTACGAGAAGGGAACTAACAACACAACAAATATGACTATTACCCTGACATTGTTAGTTCCCAAAATAGCAGGGAGCCATATGGTTCTAGTAGATCTATGTATAGTAGTTGGGCTTACTTTTTTTAAATTAATTAACAAGTTAAGAATAATCACTTACTAGTAATTAAGTAAATCAATATAAATGTCCGGAAATGCATGCCATCGGAAAGTTTTTAACATTGATTTCATAGTAAAGGTTGTTTCCATAATCTACTGCCAATACTTAAAAGTTGATCTGTGGCTTCTGCGCAGGAAATTTGACATTTTGATTTTCAAATCACAAATTCATTCATTTCCAATTTTATATTTCATTCATTACAATTCGTCAACAAAAAGTCAATCCACTCCAGAAAGTTGAATTGTCATCTTGTACACGTATTTTGATATATATAAATATTGTAATGTGTGAAATTTATTGATTCTATAAAAATATAATCTATTTTACTTGTGATATAAATTTTGAAGGTGCGTATTTGCCTTAACTTACATTCTTTGCTTTTAGATTGTATTGGTTTGCACGTTCAGCTTTGATAAAATCACCATTATTTTACGACGTTTATTTAACACGCAAATCACGAGACTTTTTATAGATGAGTGAAGGAGAAAAGCCTATGGTGGACAAGTCGGAGAGTAGCTCATTCGAGGACCTAGCATCTGCGGCGGCTCATGAAATCGAAGAAGCGAAGTTAGCAGAAGCGGCTGCTGCGGAGAAAGAAAAGTCAGCCGAGACGCAAAAAGACGAATGGCAAGATCTTTTAGGATCTGGTGCACTTCTTAAAAAGGTAAATATTTTGTAGTGTGCTATCATGCTAGTGTTTTCTTGATTTTTTAAATTAATGTTTTTTGTAGATTATAAAGTCAGGCGATGATTCCGAAGGTTTGAGACCACATAGAGGCGACATTTGCAGAATCAGTTACGAAATTAAAATCAAGGATAGTAATGAAGATTATTTTGAAAAGAGAGATCATGTCAAAATATACCTAGGTGATAATGAGGTAAGTAAATATGTGCAATATTGTCATTGTCATCCTTTCCTAATGAAACTAATAATAATATTGTTATCTTATCATTCTAACAGTGATTATGTATACTTGGTTCCTTTGTCCTTTTGGGATTTTAAAGTATGACTATAAAACATTACAATGATTATATAAACTTTACATATTTACTAGTATATAAATATGTGCAATTTTTCAGTACATATTTAATGATTATCACTTATTTACCATAATAGTTATCTTAATCAAGATCTATTCAGAAATACTTTATTCACAAGCTATATAAATTGCACATATAAATTGCAACCACAAAAATAAAGATAAACCTAACATGTTACTGAAGCTTATAAATTCTGAAATGTACAGAAAAACTTTTTTTTACATAACTACAACAGAAAAATCTAATAGAATAATAACAGTCATGTATTAAATTTGATGTATCACTGTATATAATTTAGGTCATCAATTTTAATCACATCTACATGTCTAAGAATAGTTGTTTTAACCACAAAAACTGTATTTCAGGTTCTTCAAGGTCTAGATCTAGCTCTGACACTTATGTACAAAGGGGAAGCATGTCACCTTCACATGGCTCCTCGTTTTGGCTATGGAGAGTCTGGTTTGAAGCCCGGAGAGAGCTTGGGTTTGATAGGCGAAGCTGACGGACCAAAGTATAATGGTTCTGTCATAGGACCTGATACTTGGCTGGAGGCTAAGCTGGAACTGCATGACTGGTCTGAGGAGCCAGAACACGAGACTCTGTCTATAGCGGAGAGGATGGAAATAGGGTATGTACTTACTAATTGCATTTTGTGTGAAAATTTATAAATATGGGTAGGAAATTAAGTTCCTCTACAAATGTACAAATGTTTATTATGATTTCTACTATAAAATTCATATAAAAATATATTACGAACTATTTTTTTAAAGCATAAGAGATAATTTGTTCCAACAGTGGAAGCGGAGTGTAAAGTTTTCTGTATAAAATTAATGTAAATTGTGTCAAGGTCGTGTTTGTTTCACAGTTCATTGTCACTTGATTAACAAAGTTTTGTGATTGTATCGAATTTAAATTTTAACTAACATGTCATTGATTTTGTACTTTGTGTAGTAATTTTACATTTATAGTGCTACATATCCGACCCAATAAGCTGATGTTCATTTTTGTTATAAAATATTAAAAGCTTTATAGGAAATGACACAAAAACATGACAAGAAAATATGCTTTACTGTATGCAAAGCATCTTTTGTCATTTATTATAGATTAACAGGGGCATCCCCCTATTATATTTGAAATATTGGAATACAGCTAGCCCAATTGCTATTTCAATATTTCAAACCACTTTATTTTGACAAATATGTGACAAATTCATTTTGTTAGTTGAACCAACAAAGTTTGAAATTATTGAAAAAACAGTAAACAATAGGAACACAGTCATATGTATTACTAGTTTGTATTTCTAGAACAACTCCTGTCCTGAATTTGTACTAGGTTTGTGCCATGTTTCAAACCCTTTGTTAAATTCAGTACGATTGAGGTCAAGGTCTTGAATAATTATTAAAAATGACCATAGGAATTTGAACTTATGACCTTGTAATTATCAGTTTATTTGGGTAAAGACTGTGAGAAATTATTTGTTATCTGTTAACAAATAAATTACAGGACTCTGTACAGGGTTCAGTTGTTATCAGTGTTAATTAATTATTACACAATGCTAATGGGGATATATGATGTACATTATTAATGTATGATAATGGTCTATGTATAGTTAAATATAATAATAATATAACAGTGGTAGTGCCCGCTTTAACATCTTAGCAGTGCAGGGCCGGCACGCCCGGTGTAATACCACGACCACACAGAATACAGGCGTGAAATGGAAGCAATTCCGCGTTTCGTCTGATGAGTGTGGTTCCGGAGGCCTATTTTAAGTCCCTTTCTCTTTACCACCCTTTTCTTATGAGAGGATGGGAAGGAGAAGTGGATATGACGATGGAGGAGATGCATAGGAAGAGGAATTATCATCTTTATGTGCGTCTCCTCCTCCATCGGATAGGCGACGCATCTGCAATTGCAGATGTCTATGGGCAGCGGTTGCTTCGCCATTTTGGCGAATTCAGGTGGCCACTTGCTCGTTTGCCACCTTATGTTATAAAAAAATAAATTATAATACTACCATTATTCCGATAGTCGTTTCGGTAAACGGGCTAATAGCGAAGAGCTTCGACCAACACCTCAAGAAGCTCTCGCTAGACAGTTGGATTAAGGGCCCGATTCAAAAGGCGGTTATTTGAGAAACCACTTGAATAGTGAGGAGGTTCCTGTCTCTGCAGCCCTGACCACTGGTTGCTTAAGTCATCGGATTCCGCAGCCAGTGGACTTCTATTTTTTATATAATATGTTTCATATTTTTTATTTTTTTTTTTAATAAAAAATCATGTAAAATGTGTTATATATTAAAATAAGACATTAAAGATATTAGAGATTATTAATATATAATGTTAAATTTAAAAAATTAAGACTGTTCTAGTAAATTGATTTTAAGTAAAAACTTAGAAATAGCTTATTTTAAACTATGTTAGTGGGTTAGACTGAAGAAAGTATAGATGGATTGTGTGAAAGGGATTGGATTCAGATACTACGTCTCATAGAAAGGTATAGAAGAGCAGCATGTTCTGTGCGACCTGCCATAAGGATGAAGTCAAGTTGATGATTATGTTAGTGTGTTTAAACTATGCTTTTAAGTAACAATTTAAGTTACAAACTTGGTAATGACTGTTTATTGTTTTTTCAGTATTAGTACTATGCTTTTAAGCTACTATATTTTTCTGATTTTGACTTGTGGGCTTTCATCTTATTCACTAAACGATATTAGGGTTTAGTTATTATGTTTTTTAATGTAATATAATTTGTTAGTATTCGTCGTCGTACCCGTGGCAACTGGTGGTATGGTCGTGGGGAGCCTCAATTAGCGATACAATTGTACCGGCGAGCGCTGGACGTGCTGGATGAGAGTGAGGGTGGTATTACTGATCCCACACCCTCCGGAGAGCTGGCACAAACGTCTGACGCACTGCAGGAACTGCTGGAGGAACGCCTCAGAGTTCATAACAACATGGCCGCTGCACAATTAAAAGCTGGAGCTTTTGATGCTGCACTACAGGTATGACAAAACTTGAATATAGTACTAATAGTGATGCTTATCCAAACTAATATTATAAAGAAAAAAATGTATTTTTGTTTGTGTTATAATAACTCAAAAACTACAAAAATTCTCTTACCATTAAAAAGCTATATTATCAATGAGAGTATCATAGGTATTATTTTTTAAATTCCCGCGGGCGAAGTGCGAAATTGTCATAAGTTCCATCTTTTGTTATATAAGTAAACTATGTAATGAAAAGTTAAAAAATGAAATAAGAACATTTAAATACAAATATATTGATATGATTTTGATGGGTTTGAAGCCATTGAAGATCTGTCAATAGAGTTAATAGTGAGTTTATGTGAAAAATATTTCTAGAGAAGTGTCTATGTCTATATAATTTTTAATCTCTGAGGGATGGGCTCAATATTTATTAAAAGTGAGAGAGAGAGATAGAGAGAGACGGAGGGAGAGAGATAGAGAGAATCTCCGAGTGAGTTGATGAAAGTCTATGAGAAGTACGGAGCAGTGAGAAGGCGGTGTACGTAGGCGGTGACGCGCGTGCTGGCGTGCCAGCC